TGTTCAGTGATTGTGGTCCTTCTGCCATAGATTTTCTAACTCCTTCACTCATCTTCTACCACTCCAAAGAAATGGGCTTCAGAAGGAAAAGTCTTTGCCTACCCGTCAGTTAGGAAGAGTACCAGAAATTTGCATTCAGTTAATAAATGAAAACTATTACAGCTTATATAAATTCGTGCTGAGTGGGCTCATGTTATGTCTTCTTGGACAGATGAGCCCTGATAACTAGTATGCTTAACAAATGCACTCTTCCATGTGAAATGGTAAGGTTCTCCATCTTCCTCCCTCACCGTCAGCAAAGGCTGGGGAGGATCTGTGAGACCATTGAGGATTTTAAATAGACGGATAGAAAATTAGTACAACACTATATATAGTTAAGAGGGATGTGAATAGTGGGAACAACAGACAGCCATGTTCCAGGGTGAGAGCAGAACGGGGAAAAGGCTGGGCTGCTGAATTCAGGCCCTAGAAACTGGTAAGGCCAAGAGGATTTTTTTTTAGCTTTCCATATCTTTAACACTTATTTAAGATGACATATACAGGTTTTGTCAAACTCGTAGGCGCACCACTCCCCTCCCCGTTTTTAAGTTGACTTTATACTGTATTATGATTCACACTACACACAGCACAACTTATTATATCTGGTTGTACAAAGTTACACCATTTGTCATACATGTGTTAAGTAGTAGCACCTTCTTTACATTTTATGTGTTCTAATAATTTGATACATGCTCTTTTAAAGACTTTTTTTTTGTAGTTATAGATGGACAGAATGCCTTTATTTTTGTGTGGTGCTGAGGATAGAACCCAGTACCTCACACATGCTAGGCGAGTGCTCCACCACAGAGCCACAACCCTAGTCCTTGATACACGCCTTTTTAAAAGATGTTTGTTACTTGGTAGACTTTTTCCTTTTTAAAATATCTAGTGTTAATCTTCTCAGTTTCATTAGGTACAAGTGATTTGGCAAAATTTGAAGAAATTTTTAAAAAGTGATTCAAACAGTACCAAGAATTTATCAGCCAATACTTGAATAACCACAACTCAAGGTTGGAAATCCAAAGAAACTTTGGTAGACCTGAAACAGTCTTACTCAAGATTGTAGAATTACACACACAATATGCACAAAGTCAAGGCTTTTTATGCATATGCATTTTAATATTGTACATGAATTCAGTAGCTTTGAATTTGGGAATGACTTCATCTAAAGATTCAGTATTTTGTCTTGAGTGGTTTGGCTATTAGAAAAAATAAGGTAAATACTTATGAACTTCTCATTAAAGGAATTTATAAATGTGATTGGATCAAATTAGTTTTGCCTTAAGTATGCCTGCAATGTATAGTTCTAGTGTTTTGAGGTATGACTTTTATTATTGAACTCCATTAAAACTGGAAACAAGATTTGTAATTACCATGAATACATCTTGGTATTTTCTAAAGTTTACTAACACTCTTATTCCATCTTATATTTTTTCTTTACACAAATTCAATTTCCCAGTAATTAATGTCTTTGTGATATCTCCACGTTTGCAATTTTCCTTTATCTGAATCACTAGTGCCAGCTTTTTAAACCTTCTTGCTTCCCAGCATATTGGGTTATGTCAAATCCTTGGTGACTAGTAGTTCTTGAGAATGGCATCAACATTCTTGATTTGGCCAGGATCAGTTATTTTTCTTGACATTTTGAGTTTTATGCACAAGCAGTCTCTGTTCACATTTCATACATACAGGTCGCATCAAGTTTAAGTTTTTCTGGGTGTGTTACTGTTTGTTGGACTTGTTATATAGTAGCAACATCATTTTTAGGGGATGAATGACTTTTGTATATGAAATTATTAAATGTGAAACTTACTCCTTTGTGTTTGGTACCAGGGGTGCTGAACCACTGAGTCATATCCCCAGCAACCCCTGCCTTTTATTAAATTGAGACGGGATCTTGCTACATTACTGAGTCTGGCCTTTGAACTCTGGATATTCCTGCCTCAGCCTCCCAAGCTACTTGGATTACAGGTGTGCACCACCACACGCAGCTAAGCTTATTCCTTTAGTGAAGAACCCTACCAGGTGTGCTTTAACACTTCATTCCCCAGTTAAAAATGTGGAAAGATTTAAAAATGAACAAAAAGTGTCATATGTCCAAAGAGGATGTACAAAAGTATGAAAAGATGCTTAGCTGCCCCGCAAAACTAATGAAATGCTGAGAACTCTAGTCAGTCTACCATGCTGTAAAATATTAGAATTTATTACTCATGTAGTATTTTGGTATGTATCATGCCTTTTTAACACCTAGTGACCATTGTTCTACTCTACTATGTGGATTTTTTTAAATGAAATATTAGAAGCTTGTGCATCTTTGAATATTAAAAAATGATATCCAGCAAGTTACCTGTTAGAATAAGTTTATATAATTATTATATTTACTTTCATGCATAAAAGATACCTATTACTTCTGGCTGGTTAGAATCCTGTTCTTTCCAGCATTATTATATCTTCTCCATGTGAGAATTCCTTCTTTAGCTTTCTGATGTTACACTTAACATAGACAACCAATGAGTACTGAAACGTGTAAAGACTTCACATCTGTCTGGACCATTGGAGCTGAAAAAACCTGGCTTCAAGTCCTCATTCTGGTACTTAATGGATGTATGACTATAAGTATGTTATTTAACCTCTGAGTCTCCATCTCTGTCTTGGAGCCAGCACTACCTCTAATAATGTGGTAAAGAGTAAAAGCCACACACATGTGGAGAGATCAGTACTCACTGGTTGGTGTCCTTTCATTCCTTCCCTAACCAAGAAGACTTGGTGTGTACTACTTTCGAGTTATGCACCTACTTTTCCTGGTGCATATTGATTTTAATTAGAAAAACTTGATCAAGGTGTTGACTAAAAATCTAATATTTTCAATTTGTTTGCACTACTGACTTATTGGTTCTTTTTGCAGTATATTGCCTTGTTTTCAGATACACAAAATAATTGTATTAATTCTGTATTCACATTAGATCAATATTTAATTATAATCTTTCAAGGGGCTTTTAAACAGATTTTTCCTAATTATGCCTCCCTGCCACTAAAAAAAAATCATGGTCTAAATACTATGTGTGTGTGTATATATCTCTGCTTTAGACTTAAGAGTAACATTTTGTCACTTAAAAGACCAATTTTTACCCACGATATCACCCCATAAATAATGCATGCATATCAACCTTGGTGCCCTTGAAGGGATAAAGAATATGCAATATATGTACACAGTGGAACATTAGCCATATTTTGCTTATGTGCTGGTAAATAGCAGCATAGTCTCCAGTTATATCTAAGTGAAATAAGCCAGTCCCAAAAAACAAAAAATTGTCTTCTCTGATATGTGGAAGCTAGTCCAAAATAAGGGGGGGAAAGGGGTGGGGATTCCATCAAAATAGTAGATAGCAGGGGGGACAGGATAAGGGACCAACAGTGGAATGGGTCTGACCTAACTTTCCTATGTACTTGCATTTGACCTTGAGATTCACTGTGGTATATTCATATATCCACGAGATACTGGTTTTAAAAAACTACATACAAGATCAATAGAGTAGAGGGAAGGGAAATTTCTATTGAACAATGGATGTTAGTAGTTTTCCAATATTGCCTCTTTAAATCACAGGTATTTAAATTGGAGCAATTGCTATGAAATGTGTAGAAAATATTACTCCAGCTTTCTTTCCTGTATGAACTCTTAACTTGCAATTATCAAATTACATGATTGTTACTTACATACTTGGGACCAGATGTTAAGTGTAGTTTGGTCTAATCAACAATATTTAGTTTTTTGTCAAAACCTAACAATTTTCTTCCCACAAAGTTGGTAACAAAAGTACATATAATAAAGATATGTATTAGCAGTCCAGAAATTTTCATTTTCTATCAGATGAGAATAAAAAGAAATTTGGGGATGTGAATTGTCTTTGGCATATATTCCCACACTCGCTTTGGATCACTGGGAATACTTATTTGAACCTTTTCCAAATACCTATTTGTACCTTTCTATAACCTGACCCTGTCATTTAAATACAGTGCTGTTGTCGCTAGGTGAGTTAAATGCTTAATTCACTACTGAAGTATTGTAATAACACTACTCTTCCCACCCTCACTGTTTGTGCCCTGCTACACAAGGAAAACTACGACGTTGAGAAGAGTTACTTTGTAGTTTCTCTAAGGGAAAATAAATCTCTTCCATCAGTTTGCTATGTTCTCCTAAATTCATTCTTTACTTCTACATTAGAAACTGCAAAAGTCAGCTGGGAGCTTCGAGCCCGAGATCCTAAGTAATTAAGCTGTGGCCAGTGGTGCCTGGAGCCAGGCTTGGGCTCCAGGTATGTGTTCTCAAAGGGAAGGTGAACTCTGCTGCGTTTCTTCTCAGGGGCTGTCTGGGTCACATACTTGATGGTGGGAACCAGAGAAGACATTTTGGACATGCATTGGAGCTCAGAACTGACAGTGACGCAGTCACAAAACAGGACTCAAAGTCTCTGCCAACTCTCATCTCCAGATTACTTTTATGTAGAGAAGAAAATTGTCATTTTGAGAAAAAAAAATCTACATATTACATGTTGACATCTGTTCAAACTGTTTTAGTTAGATAACAAATTCTATTTGCTCAATGAACTGTGACCTTTGGTCAGTCTCCTTTATCTTCTGAAAAAATGGCAAAACTAATGTCTTTATAAGGATTAAATAAGGTAGCTTACGTAATATATTTAACACATATTAACTGATCAGTGTACATTGATTATTTTATTATCTTCACTTGAGACCTGAATGTCAAAAGATGTCTAGCTGTTCTAGTTTTATTACTGACTGCCTTTTGAGGGAAGCTTTAGTAACAGAATATAAAGCACTTCTAGTTCGTCACTGAGTAAAGACTTTTTTTTGTTCATGTAATTATGCGTAGAGTAGTATAATGAATTTATATTGTAGGTTGAACTATAGTTTTGTTAAATAATTCTGTATTTTATTTTTAGATATTTGATTTAATGGATGCCAAAGCACGTGCTGATTGCATCAAAGAAATCGATCTCCTTAAGGTAAATAATAAACTGTGGACTACTTTGAGCGTAACTGAATGTTGATAAAAGTGATTGAAACGTCAGACTTCTAAGCAAAAAGTTTTAGATTTGTTAAAATGTCAGCATATAGTAACGTAGTGATCTTCTGGATTTATTGTAAAATAATTTAATCAGAACCTTTGGAATCGCCCTTTCAAAATAGGGAATAGATTATTGAGCATAAAACCATAAAGACATTGTTTCTGGGTCTTTGCAACTAGACATATTTTAAAGGTTAGGCAATATAAATGCATTTTAGTACTTCAAGATGTGTTATACTGAGAATATGGAGTAATCTAAAGGTTTATACATTTTAAAGTAACATTTTAAAATCTTTTTCCAGATTTACAATGGGTGAATATAAAGAGCATGTCAGAAACTCATTTTAGTATTTCATCTACTTAATCAGTGCAGATACACTGAAGTCTGTCATATTTCCTGGTGAAGTTTCTTAAGGCTGCGGATTAACTAGAATGTTTTTTTTATATAGCCATTGTGTTAGTGCCTTAAACAGGTGTACTTTATCCAAAAAGATAAGTCAAAACCATGCTTTTTGACTCTTGGGTTGGTTGTAGTTATTTCTTGGCCCATAAAGTAACCACTTTAAACCTCTGTACACTTTCGTTATACAAACAATAATATTCTGGAAAATATGAAGAAAATCACTTTTTGGTACTAGGGCTTGAACTGTGGGCTACTTGACCACTGAGCCACATCCCCAGCCTTATTTTTGGATTTTATTTAGAGATAGGATCTCACTGAGTTGCCTAGTGCATTGCTTCTGCTGAGGCTGGCTTTGAAGTTGCAATCCTCCTGCCTCAGTCTCCTAAGTCACTGGGATTACAGCCGTGAGCCACCATACCTGACTTATCTCTTGTTAATTTTGAGAAATGATTTGTCATGGGTTAACTTAGTTCAAGATTGACTGAACCAAAAGATTAAAAGTGTATATAGACTAATCCATACATGAGGTTATATTTTTCTTACGGATGATTTTGTGAATCAACTCACATGGGTTAGTTCTATAAATTTATATTATTTGAAGTAATAGTGATATTAAGATAGTGTAGTATCTACTGGTACACACTAGGTTTTTGTTTTGGTGCTGGCTACAGTTACATTAGGACCAGCCCCAACTTCAAAATAGGATTAAGAAGAAATACTTTATTTACTACTAAATGCTCTTAATAACAGTTTTCATTTTGAAGATATAATTTTTGGCAATAGGTTATTAATTTCTGCCCTTCACTTATTGCATCTATTTACATGCCTACTTGGCATAGCAGTATTTTTAAAAATTTTAAGTTTAACTATTTCCAATAAAGAATATTGAAATAGGGCTGAGGATGTGGCTCAAGCGGTAGTGTGCTCGCCTGGCATGTGTACGGCCCGGGTTCGATCCTCAGCACCACATACAAAGATGTTGTCTGCCGGGAACTAAAAAAAACAAATATTAAAAAAAAATTGAAATAAAATTAACGCTTATCTAGTTTTACTTTTGATGAATATATATTTAAAATTCACTAGATTGAAGAAAACTATGCTGTCAACATTTCTGTAATTTTAAAAAGTAGCTAGACTATTAAGTTATAAAAGTAGAAATAACTGTTGAAGGTAAAAAGCAGATAATTTTTCAATTTTTTTCCTCAGCAACTCAACCATCCAAATGTAATTAAATATTATGCATCATTCATTGAAGATAATGAACTAAACATAGTTTTGGAATTAGCAGATGCTGGTGATCTATCCAGAATGATAAAGGTAAGGGTGTTTTTCAAAATTGTCTTACATTATTTTCCCCTCAGTTGTTCAACAGACATATTTGATACTTTAAATACCTCACTGCATGCTTAACATAGGGAAGATGGGAAATGAATGGTTGGTAATGATGGTAATGATTTTGAGGCTGGTTTACTTGGTGAAAGGCACATCAGGCTCCTTCACTATCTGGAAATTCCAAATCCAAAATTTGAAAAAGGCCAACACACTGGCCTTCCCTCAGATACACTTTTCCAGCTTGACTTCTCTGAGCAGCCCATCCTTGGTCCTGCGTCTCTAAACATGAGGGAATAGAGGATAGAATGTTTCTAGAAGGGACTCAAACACGACCTGGATGTCAGTCCCTGACTTGACTGCTTAAGAGATTAACTTTCTTTTCTAAGGTCATATTAATTGGCTTTACATTCAGCCAGAAGTAATAGAAACCCCAAGGTAAAGATGGCTTTAAAACTGCTGGTTCTTGAACCAGTTACGTAACTTTTCAGTGTTAATTTTCTAGAATAATGGAACCTATTTTCTAAAACTGTTGTGATGAATATTTATTAAGAACTTAGTTTTCTCACACATTATACAACTGTAGTTGACAGATACTGTTATTCCTTCTCTGTCACGTAAATGTCTGGGACTAATATGGCTCAGATCTATCAAATATGTTTTCTAGCTCATCAAGTCACCCTAGGTTTGAGGAGACGAAGAGGATTTGCTGACTATCTTGAAGCTACTCCTCAAAACTGCCACACAGCATTTTCAGCTTCATTCCCTTGGTCAGAATTAGGCTCCTAACATATTTAACTGCAAGAAAGGCTAAGTATATAGTCTGCAGTCCTCTGGCCAAGTGCCTCATTAGACTTCTATTATCATGGAAGAGGAGCTCAGTGTGGAAACAAGAACCAAATAAGAAAAGCAAAATCCATTTATTTACAGCTTGCTACACCTAAGGGACGTTGGCTTTGCCACCAAGTCTATAAAGCTTTCACAACTCAGCCACTAGAGAAGGAAAAAGACTGCAGGTGTGCCCTGATGGGGGGCTGGTGACATGGGAAAACAAAGGCGGCCTTTCTAGAAGGAAGCCATCCTATGTAACTAGTGTGAAGGACGTATTTGGATTGCTCTAGTTGGAAACAAGGACAGAATTGGGAAAGCTGTCAGTTATTAATCATGATTTGCCCATTTGGGCTCCTTGTTACAGATATTAGTCTTTTGGAGTGTCGCTGGAATTAGCAATCTGACTTCCTGAAAGTCTGAGTTGCAGACTGGATTTCTGAATTGTTATTGGAAAGTATAGGTTTCTTGGACAAGTCCCTGCATTTTGGGGGTTAAAGGTCTATTTTGGTATATGATCTGAGCATTTTCAGTTTGTATAGAAACTTAAGAAAATACATGTGAAGTAACATTTTTTATTTAATCTTCAGAAGGCTTCGGAGGGGAAACTTGATCAGATAAACATCATTACTAGTATACAGAAAAACTGATGTTTTTGAAATTAGCTTTGATTGAATATCCATGTGTTTTCCTTTAAAGATTTTTTTTCACAGAATTCCTTTGAACATCAGGTAACAGTTCTTTACCTTCTCACCAGAAAAATGTTGATGTGCACAGTTTGCATTTTTTGCTTAAGGCCCTCAGTAGTCAAGAACTGTGCTGTTGAGTGTGGGTTTAAAATCAGACCCCTAAACACTCATGTCCTTTAAAATCTTAGTCTCCTCATCCGTAAAATGAGGACAATTTCCCAGAGTGTTTTCTAAGTTATGAAAGCAGTACATACAAATAAGGTAATGTTATTCATATCAGCCAAAATGCTATCAAGCTGACATGTTTAAACTCCCATAGTTAGAAGGAATCATTTCTAACCAATTATCTTTTGTGTGTGACTATAAAACTAGCTCGACAGGCAAAAAACATGTCTTCGCGAATTGAATAAAAATGCAAAAGGTCTTCCTCCGAGTGAGTGTAATTGCTTCATTAATAGGCTATAGGATTACTATCATCTTAAAGTAAGCCCACTTGCAAAATCTTGTGTTAATGAATACAAATTCATATGATACTGGTGAGTAATAGTGTAAACACATTTTACATCATAATGGATACTTCAAAGTACTCAAATAATTTTATGAAGTTTCTTTTTAAAAAAGTTCATTATTATACATTTACTGTGCCAGGCTTATGCCTTCTTTGAACTCATTGTCTAGCAAGTAAGATATTCATTTAGCTAAAATTCTATAACTTCACTTTTAATAAGTTGGAGCAGTGTGGGTTTTAATGGGTATTTATAAAAGGACTACTAAAATTAGTCTGGATTCTAGAAATGCTGTGTGACCTTGACTTAGTTAACCCAGCCTTAAAAAGATTGTGCTACAGTTGCCACATCCATCAAGTTGGGTTAATACCTGTATTATAGTAGTACAATGAGGATAAAGTCGTGTGTGTATATATGTGCACACAACTCTGCCTGTCCAAATATGTCTGGTACATATTGTCTGATTTTCTTTACTACTCTTCCTTTCCCCTCCTTGTCACTCAAAAGTTGCCCTTTTTGCAGATTACCTCATATTCAATTACAGAGTGTAAGTTATCAGAATTACTTCACTTCTACTTTCCAAAGACCCCATCTTCTACACCAACCTCTATCTGTTGTTCTTTACTATTGCCCATATTACTCACTCAGGAGGGATTGCTCTCTCTCCACCTGCGTTCTGCATCCTCTTGGCCTGTTTTCTCAGAAACTTTAAATTTTATCTATTCTCAGTCCTGTATCTATAACTTCATGTTCTGGACCCCTTCCACCTACAATCAGATAATGTGATCTTAAGCATGTTCACATGTATATGCACACATGTCCCTTAGTCGTTTATTAGTCGTTTAAGAAGTTTACCTTGTAGTGGGAAATTCAAATAAAAGTAAGTTGAGTATATGGTATGTCACATGTTGGTAAGTACTGTGGAAAAAAATTAAAAACTGGCATTAAGGAGTTCAGAGGGAAAACAAATTGTCTGAGAAGGCTCTCCTGACTATAACTACCTTCATTCACCTCTACCTGCCTTTTTCTGCAGTCACTGCTGACCTTATTTCCAGCCCCCTGTACAAATTCTCAAATAAAATCCAGTGAACTTCCTTTGGTCTCATTCCACTTGAACTCAATAGTATTAGACTTTAATTCCCTTCTTAAAATACTCGCTGACTGAGAAACAAAGTGCCTTGGTGTTCTTTCTAGAGTCTTCGAGTCATTCTGTTCTTCCTGACTTTTATGGTGAAGTTATAAATGTCTGTGGCCTATTGGTTTGTTTTTCACCCACCTTTTGTAGCTGATAGCTTTCATGCCTGTGGATTCATTGCCTATGTTCTTGTTGATTCCCAATTTATCTTTAGCAGAAAATTCTTCTAAATTTGAATCCACATACGTCAACATGTCTGTAAACAAATTTGAGAATCCTCCTCCAGTGTTCCCTAACTCAAGACTCAGTGCACAACCGTCCATGAGCACATTCTAAAAACGGGAGGAAGAAATGACAGTCCTTTCTTCTAATCTATTATCCAGTTCTACATGAATTTCAAATTTCCACCCAGTTGTTTCTCCTTACAGTGTGAAGTAAATCATCTCTCCCCTGCAGAGTTAGAGCCTTTTATTAATTTCCTCACCTCCAGTACCCATTTCTCCATTTGTCTTTAGATGGGTGGGGGAGAAAAGGAAGCCCTTGTTTTCTTCAAAAGGGCTTCTCCTTCTCGGTGAAAGTGAAGATTAAAATATTTGACAAGATTTACCAAACCTTGTGTAATACAGAAGATAAGCTCCCTGGAGGGAGGAATCTTGATCTGTTTTGTATACTCCCTACTGCCTAGGACGGCACCTAGCACACAGTGGCTGCTCAACAAATAATTGCTTCAGACTCTAGTTGCTACTTTCTGTGTTTTGGCACATGGACCTTTCAGTTCCTTGAATCTTATTTTTCCCTGACTACCTTGGATGTTCTCCATTCTTTGCCAAGTTTATGTTTATCGTTCAGTTATTCACTTACATGTTACTTCCTCAAGCCTTTTCCTTTGATAGTTTTATGATGTAGATATCCATGACTCTTCAAGGGTATCTCGGGAATGTAATCCTGCAGTTATTCATGTGATATTTTAGATCAATAAATTAGACTTAAGGCACTCTTGAGGAGAGCAACCAAATCCCGCCTTAATTTCTAGGGGGATGACCAGTAAGTGTATGAAGACAGTGTGTATGAGAATTGCTCGTTTTCCAGGGCCCGCAGGTGATGTTTGGTTGTACAGTAATCACTGAAGTTTTCTACTGCTTCACACTCTGGTGCAGGAGTCTAAAGAGAGTAAATGGTATGCTGGCCCCAGAGAAGACTGTTACAATATAGGAAGTTGATTGTTTTTCCAGAAGGGCCAACTGAGAAATTCTGAAGTTGTTTGGTAAATACCTTTCTTCATCCTATAAGCAATATTTTATAAAAGAGGGCTACTCTAGGGGGAAAAAAATCACAGGATCTACTTCTGTGAAGGAACATGACATCGACTTAATACTTTGTAAAGGACAGCAGTAAAGGCTTGAACTGCAAATAACATGATTCATCTCTTTAGAAGGAGGCGTATCGTAAATCGTTGTGTATCACAACAATATATTTCACTCTCAAGTCTTCAACGTAATTGGGGTAGAAAAAGGAAATATAGCTTCTGGTCTCTATTTCAGAAATGAACCTCTGGATAACGTTGCCTCAAAGATTTTTACAAGTAAATAATTAATTGGCTTAGAACAGGCTGACAAATATAATTAAGCAATTTATAGTTGAAATATTCAGTATTTCTCTAATTAGTGACAAAGGAATACCTGAGGCTGTGGTCAGATGAGATAAGTCCCGGATGAGTTTTAAGATAAAAGGAAACCTGGAATTTTTCATCATACATTTCATTATCTGTAATCAGAATTTTAAAGTAAAATGGGTTGTTATAAAGCAGATACATTTTGATTATTTTGTACC